GGGGCGCGTGTGCGTGCGTGCCCAAGATCCCGAGAGGAGAATGGAGGAGAAGGGATTGTGGCGTGACCATCCCCCCTGGGGGGTGATTTCTCGCTTTCTGTCTCTATGTCTCTCTCTGGCTGTCTGGCGAGCGCACGCGCCCTACAGTGAAAATCTCTCTCTCAAAAAAAAAAAAAATAAAAATAAAATAAGTCTTGAATTCTATTACTAACAATTATACTTATATACATTATTGTCAAATGCATATGAGAAAATAAATGATACTCAGGTGGGTGACACATAGAATGCTAGAGAGAACGGTAAGAAAATGAGGCTGGGGACCAGCAGTTAGCGTAATGGCTATGTTGCTGGACTCCCATGTAGTCGACCGCACTTCGCATCCCGGATCCAGTGGTTTAAAACTCACGCTGGGTGCGTGAGCGTGCGTGCCCAAGATCCCGAGAGGAGAACGGAGGAGAAGGGATTGCGGTGTGGCCATCCCCCATGGGGGGTGATTTCTCGCTTTCTGCCTCTGTCTCTGTCCTGGCGAGCGCACATGCCCTATAGCGAAAACCTCTCCAAAAAAAAAAAAAAAAAGAAAATGAGGCTGGAAACTTAGACAGGAGTCAGATCATACAGATGCTTATCAGTCCTGTGAAGGATTTTGGTCTTGAACTCAAAGCAAACGGAAGCCATTATAAGATTTAAAGCAGGGTGAGCCGTATAGCCCAGTGTTTAGGTGCTGCACAAAGTAAACTGGATCCCAAATGACTGATGAAGGTTCACATGGTGTTCTTGTCAGCTTAAAAAATATGCTGGATTCTCTTGCGTCGCGTCCAAGATTCTGATGGGGTAGAAAATTAAGGAAAGGATTGTGGTAGGACCAGACCCCCTTTGGGGTACACACATGTATGTGTGTGCTCTCTCTCGCTCCTGCATGTGCCTGCACATGCTCCTCGGATATGAAAAATGAAATATTTAAAGCAAGGAAGTGGCATGATTAGATTTGGGATTCTGAAAACAATTATGAAAAACTGAAGGCAGATGTTATGGGAAGAAAGCTGTTAAGAGATCTATGTAGCAGTTCAGAATAGTGATGCTAGCGGGTCAGTCAGGTGGCATGGTGTGTTAAAGTGGCTGGATCCCACATGGTCACCAGTTGGAATCCTGGGCCCAGCAGCTTGCAACATGCCAGATGTCTGTGTATATGTGCCCAAAATCCCAAAAGGAGAGCAGAGAAGGGACAGTAGTGTGGCCATCACCACCGGGGGATGCTTTCTTTCTCTCTCCCCCCTTTCCTCTGGTGAACGCTCATTCCCTATAGCAAATTAAAACAAAAACAGTGATGCTAGTCTATTGGACTAAGAAGTGGCAGCAAGGATACAGTAACAAACATATCTGAAAATTAGTGATAGAATTCACAGGGCTCAGTGGTTCATCCACTGGATGGCAGATGAAGAAAAAACGAGTCAAGATAAATGTAAACAATATCTAATACAAGTTTAGGTAGCACTTAATTCTCTGAAGTCAAAGGGAAGAGGATGTAGAAGGAATAATCAACAGTGTTAAATTGTGAATGGTTGAAAATAGTTTTTAATACAAGGGTAAGGAAAAAGCCAGATTTTTGAGATTTGAGAAGAAATTAGAATCTATGGAAATGAAGACCATGAATGTTATAAGCACGTCTCAAGAAATGTATGTGTAGGGTCCAGCCCTGGTGGTGTATGCTAAGACACCATGCTCTGCAAGCTGAGATCACGTGGAAGGCCTGGGTTCTATTCCAAGTCCAACCTGCATGGCCATGCACAGTAGCATGACCCTGAAATCACACAGACTGAGGAGGATGAGGCAGGCGAATCATGAGCTAGAGGCTAGCCTGAGCAATATAGGAAGACCCTCTCTAAAAAAAGGAAGTATCTGTGCAGTGGGAAAAGGTAGGTAAGAGAGGCAGTCTAAGACATGGGAGATAGTTTTTAAGGTAGAAAGAGTAAGCAGAGGGGCTGGTAGGTGGCATGGTGGTTGAGGGTGCTGGACTCCCACATGTCTGACCGCAGTTCAAGTCCCGAACCTGGTGGCTTGTTTTCTCACTTTTTCTCTCTCTCTCTCTCACTCTGTGTCCCTCTCTGGTTAAATTAAATATATAAATAAATGGATAAAGTTGAATAAAATAATTCTTTTTTTTTTTTTTTTAAGAGAGGTTTTCGCTATAGAGCGCATGCACTCGCCAGACAGCCAGGGATGGTCACGCCGCAATCCCTTCTCCTCCATTCTCCTCTCAGGATCTTGGGCACGCACGCACACGCGCCCGGCGTGAGTTTTAAGCCACCGGGTCCAGGACGCGAACCACAGTTGACTACGTGGGAGTACAGCGACATAGCCATTACGGTAACTGCTGGTTCCCGAATAAAAATTTTTAAAAAAAAAAAAAAAAAAGAGCCAGTAGAGAGGGGAGTCATGGATTTAATGAACTATAGGTACAGTATTTTTATGCCTTAGAATGGGAGTCCCCAACCCTCAGGCTGTGACTTAAAATACCCTCCTGTCCTGTTGACACCCTCCCAACCCCCAGACTGCACAGTGAGGTATGGGCACAGGGTGAGGAAGTGAGTTTTCATCTGCTCCCCACTGCTTCCATTGCATCTGCTTATCGAATAAACAGCAGGAGTCTCATGGGAGCATAAGCCTTATTGTTTCACTGTATAAGGCAATGTGATAGTGGTAGACATGGGGTACTCGAAGGATATGAGTACCAAATGGTGTACGTGAGTCATTCTGAGGCCAACCCTGTTCCCCAAGAAGTGAAAGGATTATCTTCCAGGAGACAGTCCCTGATGACAGGAAGGTCGAGGAGTACTACTTTAAAAGCTCTCCAATTTGGAAGTTTTTGCTCCCTGAAATAATTGAAATAATATTTTTAAAACTCTAAAATAAGTCAAATACACTGTATCAGATCAAACAAACTGAACCTACCTCAAAAAAGCTCTCTACATACTGCAATACGTACACACCACAATCACTGAAGTTGTTTTGCTATGGTACTTTGGGATTAGAGCCTTTCATAACATCTTTGGAAAAACTTCTTTTACTTCCTTTTTTAACTTCCCATTCCACCTCTAAATACCTGCAATAACATATATATAGTTAGAATACCCATATATGCAAATATATTAATACATATTCCCTCTTATCTACCAGAACATGAAATAAAGTGTGAGGTGTGATTCTGAACTTACTCTCTCAGAATTTTGACAACATTCGATCGAGAAGGGCCTCTAAGTGAGTCCATAAGTAGGATACAAGGTCTGCAGAGTAGAAATGACCGAAAGTTGAATACTTCATAATCTTACAAAGCCATAAAAAGATTAAAAGTGTTATATTAAAAATAAAATTTAAAACCTTCAAAATTCCCTTTGATGCCTCAGTAAAAAATGGAGAAAAACATAAACAATATAGACACAAACAGCCTAATAATACTTAATTATATACGGGTATATTAAATACTGAATTACAAAATATCAATTTCACCATATCTTAGTGATAAATACATTATACAAAAGTTCCATAGCTGGTTCCTAAAACATATTAATACTTCAAAATTTAGTAATAAATCAAAACAATTCCTTTTTTTTTTATTTTTTGAGAGATTTTTGTTATAGGGTATATGAGGTTCACCAGAAAGAGAGAGACAGAGACAGGGCAAGAAATCACTGTCCAGGGGGTATGGCCATGCCACAATCCCTTCTTCTCCATTCTCCTCTCAGGATTTTGGGCATGCATGCAGACGTGTCCAGCGTGAGTTTTAAGTCACTGAGTCCTGGACTTGAACCATGGGAGCTCAGCAACGTAACCATTATGACATCTGCTGGTCCCATAAATCAAAATAATTCTAAAAATGAAATATCCCTATACTCCAAATCAATAAAAGTGGAGTCATGCAAAAGTAGGAAGAAAATAACACCACTTTAAAGAGGTAATCGTCATGTAAAACAATTAGTTTAGGTCACAGAGTGTTTTTGCAAGATTCCATTCAGAACACTCTCTTTAAGTCAGATTTAAACGTCAAAATTTAAATTCTGGTTGGCCATGTAGCACAGTCGTTAGACCCTATACATAAGGAGCTGGATCCCACATGTCCAACCACAGTTCAAATTCTGGCCTCAGAAGCTGGGCACATGTACACATGTGCCATGAATCCTGATAGGACGGAGAATAAGGAGGAACAAAGACTGCTGTGTGACACATCCCATAGAGTTATGTTTACCCTTTTCTTTCTCTGGCAAGTGCACACAGTAAAATTAATTTTAATTTTGTAAAGCTATGTTGTAAACTCAGGTAAATGAGAAGTTTGATATAGTGCCGAAAATCCTGCCAATGCTTAAAGATCTATATTCTCCCTGACTAAAATGTTATAGGATTTGGAACAGATTCTCTTAATTAACCTAGGTCTTTACATTTCCCTTTATAAATGAAGTTTTATTTTAAAAGTCTCTTAAGTAAGTTACTAATATCACCTACAAAAAAAGTCAAAGGTGATTATGTCTAGAAAGAGGCAATTCTTCATCAATTAAGAAGTTTAGAGTCTCTGGTGAGACCTCAGAACATATAGTTCTGAAAATGAAAACTGACTCATCCTCATTTAGGGTTTCCGTCTGGAACATGTCCCTTCAGACTGCCTTGGGTCACTCCATAGCCTTTACAACATCATGTTATTATTTTGATATAAAATGCTTCCTACTCCAAAACACTATATATATATATATATATATATATAGAGAAAGGAATAGTTGGTCACTATTAAAACATGTATAGATATGTGTACACAAAGACTGAAAAAACTGGCAAATGGAGGACTTAAATGACTACCTATTCTTCCCTCCTATTTCTGGATAACATGTTTCAATTTTTCTCACTTGACTCTGACAACATTTATTAGTTCTGTTTAAGTAAATTGTCCAGTTATGTTTTTTTTCCATGAGTGCACTTAGGTAAAAGCCAGCATGCAGTTTGGAGATATATAATTAATGCTTACTGTTTACAAATAGTAGGTTTTAAATGCCACTGTCCTATTTCTGAACTGCAGTTATCATCAGCAAGGAATCCATCATCACTGCTGTCATCCTATAAAAGACAGCTTTGTATCAGTATTGAAAATGCACAATCTAAGTAATTAATAACCCAACAAAACAACACCACTGGGGACAAAATTCTTTGTAATAGATATATAAAAAATATTTTCTTTGTAGATGATCACAATCTGGAAAATGTACTGTTACTTAATTCAAATTACCTAATGCTACAACACTAAAATTTCAATGAAAAGAAATTACCAATCAAAGGTTTGAGAAAGTTTTATATTTATTTACTCAATCTAGAATATTTAAAGATTTAATAGTATTATAATTCTTTTGCCACCAAACAGTAGTTCTGATTTTAGCTTTATAAAAATATAGTTTGTTGGCTAGGATGGCACTTTCACCAATAGGACATGAATAACATATTTTTCTTTTTTTTTTCTTTGGAGAGGTTTTTTCGCTATAGGGCGCGTGCGCTCGCCAGACAGACAGAGAGAGATACAGAGACAGAAAGCGAGAAATCACCCCCCAGGGGGGATGGTCACGCCACAATTCCTTCTCCATTCTCCTCTCGGGATCTTGGGCATGCACACACACACACACACGCGCCCAGCGTGAGTTTTAAGCCACCGGGTCCGAGATGGGAACTGCGGTCAACTACGTGGGAGTCCAGCGACATAGCCATTACGCTAACTGCTGGTTCCCATAACATATTTTTCTTTTACATGAATCATTTTTCATATCAGAAACTTTTAAAAGGTTTTGGAAACATTATTCTCCTTGACAAACCCATATGACATTTATCGCCTGAGAGAAAGTAGCTTAAAACCATTGTAGTATTCTGCAGATTATGGTGAATGTAAAATAAACAAGGATTTTTTTGTTGCTGTTCTTTGAAAAAGCTTCTGGTACTTCATGATTACGATAAACAATGGCAGAAATAATAGTAATACCACAACACAGTTAGATGACCTAGTTCACATAGTAGGTAAGTGCTATAACAAAGGGAGATTAAGTGCTTGTTTGAAGCTCTGAATGTAATTCCCTATACAAGTTGGAGAGGAAAAAAAAATGTTTATAGCCATAAATTTTTAAACCAAGGGATATCTCAAAAAAAAAAAAAAAAGGCTTTTGTTCATAACAAGATTAAGCAAAAAGGAAAAATGGTACAGTATTAAGATACATTCTCGGGATCAGCAGTTGGTGTAATGGCTATGTCGCTGGACTCCCACGTAGTCGACCACAGTTTGAGTCCCAGACCCGGTGGCTCGAACTCATGCTGGGCGTGTGTGTGTGCGTGTCCAAGATCCTGAGAGGAGAATTTAGGAGAAGGGATTGCGGTGTGACCATCCCCCCTGGGGGGTGATTTCTTGCTTTCTATCTCTCTGTCTCTGTCTGTCTGGCGAGCGCACATGCCCTATAGCAAAAACCTCTCCAAAAAATGAAAGAAAAAAAAAAGATATATTCTCAAAGTTTGTCCTAACAATTAAAGGTTAGAATATTAAAGAAATGTATGTTATAGGCTTCTCATAAACTTTTCTTTCGATATAAAGTCCTTTTCAACTGAAGTTATAAAATAAACCATTTTTTAAAATATATTTTATTTTTGGTTTTATTAATGTTTATTAGTAGGGCAAATGAGACTAAGAAAATATCGGAATTCACCTATATTAATTTTAATTAAATCTGCTTTGCCATCATATAAATACATTAAGTTGGCAGGAAAAAAAAAATCACTAGAAAAGCAGTGGGGATAAAAAATAGGATAAAAATAATTTTGTTGTATTCATGAAATCACAATCAAAAATTTAAATATTTGCCTCTTGAATGCCAAGTCAGATCAAAGATTAAAAGTATACCCCATAAATGCTTTGAAAGAAGGGTTGAAGGCAGTAATAGCTGGAATTGAGGTAGAAGAATAATTTTCTATCAAAACTTTATTTAAAAAAAACTATTTTAAAGACAAGGATCCACTCTGTCATGCTCCTCCCTGCTCATCCTCCAAAGTAGCTGGGACCACAGCTGTGTGCTAACATGCCTAGCTTTCCTGGGGGTGTAGGATAGGAGGAGGTTGCAGGCAGGGAATAAAACTTGGACCCTGGGGGCCAGCAGATGGCGTGGGGGTTACTTTGTTGGATTCCCACATGGCTGACCACAGTCTGACTCCCAGACTCGGTGGCTTTAAACTCACACCAGTCATGTGTACGTGTGTGCCCAGGATCCTGGGACAAGAATGGGTAGTGGCATGGCCATCTCACCTTGGGGGTGGATTTTTCACTTTGCCTCTACTGTTTCTGTCTCTCTCTCCAGCAAGCACACACACACCCTAAGGCAAAAACCTCCTAAAAACAAAACAAAACAAAAAATCTTGTACCCTGTGGGGCAGCATGTCTTTACTGGCATGACTTGTGGCTGGGCTCATATAAAAGTTTTCTGAGATGGGTAGTTTTACAGTTCAGTCTACAACACAGTGGAAACATTTACGATGATGATAACAACAACAGAATACTTTTTTTTTTTTTAAGAGGTTTTTGCTATGGGGCACGTGCGCTCGCCAAAAAGAGACAGAGAGATAGAAAGCGAGAAATCATCCCCCAGGGGGATGGCCATGCCGCAATCCCTTCTCCTCCATTCTCCTCCTGGGATCTTGGACAGGTACCCGGTGTGAGTTTAAGCCACCGTGTCCAGGACTTGAACCACAGTCGACTACACGGGAGTTCAGCGACATAGCCATTACATTAACTGCTGATCCCCAGAACTAATACATTTGTCCTGGCGACTTTTGACCTAAAAACTAAATCTGTTTTGAGATGTGTCCCAAATCCAGAAGCCATGATGAGTTAATGGTTGAGGGAACTGCTTATAAGACTCTAGAGAAAAACTTTTAATTATGTAAAACATTAGAACTGTTTTTTTTAATAAAAAAAAAGAATTATTTTATCTAACTTTATTTATTTATTTATTTACTTAATTAAATCAGACCAGAGAGGGACAAAGTGAGAGAGGGGAGGGGGGAGGGAGAGAAAGAGAGAGGCAAAGTGAGAAAGCAAGTCACCAGGTCTGGGACTCAAACAATGGTTGGCCATGTAGGAGTCTGGCGCCCTTAACCACCATGCCACCTTCCAGTCCCAAAACATCAGAACGATTTACCAAGCATTAGGTTTTACCTGGTTATCCTGATCTTCTGAGAAGTCAATGAGTTCATCTTCAAGCATTTTACTACCTTCATTTGATTCATCACTATAGTTGAGTCTAATTTTGCTTAAGCCATCTGCATCAATAAGAAACATTATATAATTTTTTAAAAAGGCCATTCCTGTAGCTCAGAATATGATGCTGGAATTAATACTTGTAATTACTTAATGATTAAATAGTTAAAGATAAAAAAAATCTGCCTTAGTATGTAATATCACAAATATAAACTTAATTATTTAAAAACTAGGTTCCAAACACTGAATGGGAAAACATTTTCTTCTAAAAACTAGAACAAGACAAGAAGGCCCACTTTCTCTGCTCTTATACAACCTAACACTGAACATCCTGGCCAAAGCAGTAACACAAAAGAAAAAAATAAAAGGCATTTAAATGGAAAAAGAAGTTAAACTGCTCATTTGTAGATGACATGATTATATATATAGAAAAATCTAAAGAATCCACCAAAAACTTCTTACAACAGAAAAAAGAATTCAGTAAAGTTGAAGGACACAAAATCAACTTGCACAACAAGAATGACATATTGATAGATAGCTGAAAAAGAATTTAAGGAAACAATAGCATTTAAAATAGCAACAAAAAATTTTAATTTAGAAATTAATTTAATAAAAGACGTGAAACATCCCTAAAATCAAAACTATAACATCCCTAAAATCAAAACTATAAAACACTGATGAAAGAAATCGAAAAAATAAAAAATTGGTATGGTATCCCAAGTTCACAGAGAGGAAGAATCAATACTGTTAAAATGTTGATGCTACCCAGAGTGATCCACAGATATGATGCAATTTGTATCAAAATGCCAGTGGCATTCTTCACAGAAACAGAAAAAATAATTACAAAATTTAGATACAGTCACAAAAGATCCTGTATAGCCAAACCAATCTTGAGTGAAAAGAACAAAGCTGGAGTCATTAAATTACATGACTTCAAAATACATCACAAATCCTTAACAACCAAAACTGCATGGTACTGGCATAAAAATGGATAGACTACATATCCAAAAAATTTTTTTGTTCATATTCCATAGTTTTTTTTTGTTTTTTTTTTAGAGGTTTTTGCTATAGGGCGCATGTGCTCACCAGAAAGACAGAGAGAGATAGAAAGCGAGAAATCACCCCCCCTGGGGATGGCCACGTCGCAATTCCTTCTCATTCTCCTCTTGGGATCTTGGGCATGCATGCACACGTGCCCGGTGTGAGTTTAAGTCACTGGATCCGGGACTCAAACCGTGGTCGACTACGTGGGAGTCCAGAGACATAGCCATTACGCCAACTGCTGGTCCCCTCCATAGTTCTTGACAGTTAAAAAACAATTTTCAAAATTTCGAAATACTGAGTTTTAAAGATAATGTTCAAAATATTTCCTATAATTTTGTATAATTTTGTTTGTGACTCTCTAACAGCAGAAACAGTATGATTTTAAGTATTTTTGAAAAAAATATTTACATGTCAACTACTCAAATTGTTGAAAAGCAAATGCCCACCCAGCACACTAGTTACACATAAACATTCTCAATTCAGCCCTGCCTACCAAGTATTCTGTGATATACCATCTGGAGGCAAAGATCAGTCTTTTTTTCTTCCTTTAAAGTCATTCTCAAGATAATCTCTGGTGTGGTTGCTCTTTTACAATCTCTACTGATTACAATGCTGGGCTGGAAAAGTCCAGGTTATTTTATGTTGTAAATTCTTTTATATATCTTCTCTAATCCTCTCTGCCAGGCAGAACTATTTATGGTGCCAAGCCACCTTTCTAAGAGCTTCTGTTTGCATACTTGAGATCCACCTTAATTTCATAGTTTTCTGATTGATCTTCAGATATGACATTCCAGTCAAAGCCCTGCCCAATAATATTTCCAATTTCTGATTCAATGCAACAAGCATTGCTGAACTTATGCAAATAACCCTTCTACCACAAAATAAGAATATGCCCAAATATTTCTAATTCAAGAGGGGTCAGGAAGGAAGAAAAGTTTACGTTTCCACTTAAAGAAACAAACAAGAAAAATATTTTAACAAATTGCTGAACCTATCAACAACTCAAAAGAAAATAAAATATTTAAATTGGGAAAACAAAGCATAGTAAAAAAGTATCAGTAATGCTTTACTCAAAAATCATAAAATTCTATTTTGCCAATTAAGTCTTATGTTCCAACTGTCTTCTGTTGAATATGCAGTGTTGCTATGGTCCAATCTTTCTGGTTAAATCCTGGAAGTTAGCATTCAATTGTTATTATTATTGATATTTCTTGTTCCCAGCATTAAATTGGTCATTTTCTTGGTTGTCTTTTGTTCTCTTATTTCTGTATGTGTCTTTAGTTTTCCTGGTGGAGCACTCCTTTCAGAACTTCTTGAAGAGTGGGTCTGCTATTGACAAATTCTTTCA